GCTTTACACAATTGATGTATGTATGGATTGTGATAAGAGTTGTATGAGCCCCTAATAAAATGATTAAAATAAATAAATAAAAATAAAAAATAAGACTGATGTGCATCTGCGATCAGAGTTACTAGGATGTATGTAGTACAGGGGAAATCTACTGAAGAGAGTAAGTCAGAGAGGGTTTGGCAAAATTAAATTAGGTAAACAACCCCACTGTTACCCACCATGCCTCTTTGAGGTATAAGAAGGCTGTTACTAATTATATGACCTCTCTCTCTCTCTCTCTCTCTCTCTCTCTCTCACACACACACACACACACAGAGTCAAGTTATTCTATGTTATGCTATACTAATAATATTTACTAATACTGTAAACTACTTAATATTATCTGTCTCAATGACTCCCAAGAGGATACAAACATTACCAGGGAAGGTCTTTTGCTCATTCATCACTGTTTCTCTACTAGCCACCAGTGTGCCAGACACATGAGATGTGCTCTGTGAATATCTGTTGAATAATCAGTTGAAAAAGAGGAAGAAAATTGGAAAAAAAATGTTTCCTCTAGCAGCACTTTCTGATTTTCACCTTTCCAATTATTTTCCTCCTTATAGCATTCTCACATTCTTTCTCCCTCTCATCTCTGCTACTCTCAATATGTTAACAGTATTCATTTCTCTTTGCAAATCTCTTTTGTGTGCACCACCTGGGTAACGGTAGCAGACAGATACCACCATAGAATTAAAATTTACAACCCTGCCAGGTAGAAATAGCATATGGAATAAATTAGAATTATGAAGTTACTCGTCCAAATATCATGAAAGGTTTTGATGGCTCTACCTTGAAACTTTATGACCCATTTTCACTTTACCTGTGTAGTCATAAGTGCTGTGTAAAATAGCCCTCCTGATGACTTGGCTTTCTCAATATTCAACCTTGAGAATCCTCAGGAAGAGGGAATAATTACTAGCTAGACAGAGAATCCAATTAGGTACAGTTCAAGCAAGCTTTTTAACTATGTTTTTAAGGAGAAAAGAAAGAGTTAAAAGACTTGTTAAAGAATATTTAATTAAGTTATATACATTTTAGAACTAAATGTGTAGATACAGAAACTGATGGATAAGAAGCAAGAAGAGGAAGAAGGAGGGTCACAGGTTGGTGGATGCACAGCTGAATGAATCCAACGTTGGCTGCCTGTTTACAAATCCAAGGATTGGCAGGTGACACAACATGAGAATGATAAAGCAGTACCCAGATCCAGGAGAAGGTGAATTTGCAAGAGATAGCTCTGTCATGATCAAGTTCTCTCTGTTATCCAAATGCCATTGTCCCTAGCAGATGTCATCAGGATGCAGCTTGATTGATAGGTTTGGCTCCACCCCTGTCATCACTCAGGTATATCAAATTGACACAAAATACATCTATCACATTAAATGAGGTAACCTTTTATTTATCATATACTCATTTATCATACACATCTGAGGAAATGTGATTAATGCTTGACCTGGATGTTATAGTAAGTAAAAAAGGAAAAGGTGGAAATATAGAGAAAGAAATAAAAATAGAATTGAGCTGAGCAAGAGAAAGTGGTTCAGTCAAGAAGTTGGAGGAGAGGAAGCAGGAGAAAAAGAAAACAGGAAGAAAAAATTGGCGAGATACTCATATTTGGCAGCTTAGTGACATTACTTTTTAAAGCTATTCTCAATCTATGTAAACTCCAATGTTTTGCAATTTGATTTAAATGGTTAATCTTTGAGATTTTAAAATATTATGTGATTTTAAATAAGCTGCATTTAAAGGCTCATTCCTTAAACTATCTGAAACAACAGATTATACCTTAACATTTAAGTAATCTTTTCCATTTTTTTAGTTCTCGGGTTATTCTTGTAATTAAAAAGAGAACAACAGGAAGGCAAAGACTAAAAGTGTTGCTACTAAACATTGCTTTATTTAAAATTGACCTAAGGTAAAAGGACTCTTTTTCCAATCTCAGAATATTTTCCTAGAAGATTTAAAAATAACTTATTATAAAACCACTCCCCTAAATTGAGAGCCTTCCCCTTTTTGTCAGAGTTTTGTGTGTGTGCAGCTTGGTGAGATATGAATGATAAAGAAGTTTTCCAGTTTGATCATTTTCATGTGCACAAGCCAATGATATTAAGTACATCCACCAGATTGTATAACTGCTAATCCTATCTATTTTCAAATATTCTTTTTATCTGCTTAAACAGAAACATAGCACCTCTTACATAAATATGCCCCATTTTTCCTTCTCCCAAATCCCAGGTAATCATTAAAAAGCTATTGTTGCTGCATATTTGTCTCTATAGAAGTGGTTTTATATAGTATATTACCTTTTGTGTTTGATTTATTTCATAGAAAGAATTGTTTTTAAGTAAACCTACTTATTTTATGAGTCTTAAGAAGTTAAATATTAGTTAAAATGCTGTTACCCAAACTGGTAAAGGATAATAAGGCAGCATTCTTGACTATTATTTCCTAAAAGACATGATATTTTTTGCAAAAGTTAAGAAAATATTACTTCTTAAATTCTTTGTTATAATTCTATTTTATATTATTGTAAACTCTTTATTAGAAGATCACAAAATTAATATTAACCGCATAATTCAATATAGTTTCCATCTTTTAATATAACAATTTTGCTTATGGTGGGAGAAAAATGCTTAAATTCTGAACATTCTGATATCTAAATTAATGCATAGTCTAACTAACAAAGCATCTATTATTTTTAATATTTGATGATACTTGCTTTTCCTTTACTTTTAAGACACAAGATTGTATACTTGAAATTTGATGGTAATTAAGTTCATCATTCTAAATATTTCCATATTATAATTATCTGTTTATGATGTCAAATAATTCACATCTGAATACTTCTTATATCTGCTTAATATTTTGTCCGTATACTTCTTATATCAACTTAATATATGCATACATGACCATGTACGGGTGTAGAGACTTGATGGTGCTTTGGGGGTAGCCTTGAAGTACGAAGTGCAAAGTCAATGTCACAACACCACCCTTTGCTCCATTGTAGGATGATGAGGCTATGTGGTCCTATGTTGGTTTACAGCCTTAGAAGCCTTACACAGAGTTACAATGGGTCGGAGTTGAATTAATCGCTGTAATTACTTCAAATATTTTGAATATACTTTGAATTGAATTTTTAACATACTTATATAATGAAGCTATAACAAAGAATGACTTTAAAGAACAGAAAGTTTTTTTTAGTCCCCCAAATGTGAATGTTGAGGTCCTATCCTAAAATTAACATAACAAAATAGACATTTGTATAAGTCATTAGCTATTCAAAGCTCTAAACATTTTTTAACTGGAAATATGGTCAAAATGTTCTTTTTCAAAATGGATATGTCGTGCCTTAAACTTATGAGTAAGGAAAATAATGATCCAGGGTAATGCCCAGATCCTCACTGATAATGTGAGAATTTTTGAGCAGGTAAAAGTTACCCCTACGGTGACCTGCCTCCTTTGGGGGATGCCTGGGTGTTGCGATCTGCCCGAAACCCCCTATAAAAAATTTTTAAAAGAAAAAGAATGCATATGTCTTCCTATGATAACAGTTCTGACAGCTATGGCGACATGAACGAGTGAGAAGTGTTTGGTCACATACTGAAAACTATGTCTTTGATTTATGTGGAAGAGCCCGACCACTTAGTAATGGAAAGGTCAGCATTTCAAGCTCCCGAGCTGTTCTCTGAGAGAAAGATGAGACAATCTCTTCTGGAAAGATTACAGCTTTGGACCTGAACCTGATGGGACAGCTCTACCCTGCCCTGGGTCATTATATATTGGGTTTAGTTTGGGGTATTGCCATCAGTCTACATGGACATGAAGCAAACATCTTTACCAAATGAATGTTGACCTGGAATATCCACATATCCCCAAGGATAGGGAGATATAATGGCAGTTGTTTATTCCTTACAAGAATAGAAATTAGAGAGGATTAGAAAAATGAAGCCATGGCAGCAAAACATAGGCATTCCAACCTAGCCTAAGCTTCTCTTTATTTAACTGGGAAAGAGCAGCTTGGTCACAATTATACACCACCAGATGCTGTGGCTACATTACTTAATTACAGCCAACTCCTTGATTAGCTTGTGTCACTGGAATAAACAACAAGTGTGCAGATTTCTCAAAATCAAATTATTTCCATCTCATACATATTTCATGTGTCTGCAACCAAACGCTTCTCCTAAAGCTGATTGGATGTAATGTCTTCCAGGATTTACAGACTGTTGCTCCACAGTTCAAATGGAAACAATGTGGATTTTTACAACATACTCCTTAGCTTAGGGGGAATTATATGCATACTCTGAAGGAAATTATTACTCTAAAAAGTTTCTTCATTAAATTTTAGATATTATTTTCTACTTCTGAGTTAGCTTATTACTCCCCTTCTTGTACAAGCAGTCTCTGGATCACAGGTTACAAAGAGATAATCCACACTTGTCCTTTAATGTAATACAATTTTGTCATCACTTTGAAATGATTGAATGAGCCCAGTCTTGCAACAAACCCTTCATCTTGATGCCCTTTACTTGCTGCACGTGGTCCTTTTAAATCATTAAAAAGGCTGAAAAGACTTTTCTTGCATTAAGACTAACGCAAGGCTAATTAAGAATTGTATGTACCTGTTCCAATATAGCTACAACCTTGATTTAAAGATTTAATAATGAATTTGGCTTTTGTTATTTGTTATCTATGGATCCCACAGGCTGGTGTGCTTCTTCCATGTAAACAGTTGATGGATCACTTAGATGGTTGCTTGCTTGAACACAAGCCTTTAACAGACCAGACACTATTCCAATTGACATCTGGGCACCATCTACTTTCTTCCCCATACTTTTCTGTAGCACCCTTATCATGAATGATCACTTCATGAAGGTGAGTATTGAGCAGAGCCATATTATAAGAACTAACTATTCTTGGATTGGGGCTAGAATTAAGGGGAAACCTAGAAGACATCCACTTGTCTATGGGTTATAGACAACTCTGGTATATTTTAGCACGGTTATAAATATGACAACAACAAAAACACTATCAATCATCTGCTCGGGTATAAAGTGCCTCCGTTGATAACATCAATAATTTATCCAATGGCATAGAAGTTAAAGAACTGTTGAGAAAAGGAGGGTATACAAGTATAATCCGTCTGCCAACTCCAATCCATGAGTTGTTGTTTTGTACAGATTGAATTCTTACATGATTGAGCTCTGTTTACATTCAGTATGGGTATTGGAGCTAGTGGAAAATTCCTTGTAACATTTCTTACAAGGGTGAATCTTTACTTTTCAGATTGATACATGTCTTATCAATGCAAGGAGAGCATTGAGATAGTAAATCTATGGTGGTCTGGGTCCCCTTTCATTGGGACACCCACTAAGTCAGGGTTCCTAACCAAAGTCCAAGGATTACCAAATACTCAGTTTTGGGGTGACATAATTGTTCTTCGTTCACCAGGGAACTTCGAGACCATAACTCTTCACTGTAGTAGAAAGTCCTGTCTTTCTCCCTTGGAGTAGCTGATGGTTTCGAATTGCTGACCCTGCAGCTAGCAGCCCAGTTCACAACCACTACACCACCCGGGCTCCTTGTGCCTAGTTTGGTATTAATTCCTACAAAAGAAATTAGCATATGTCTCTCTCTTGACTCAATCTCTTTCATTATCCATTGCTTTTCCTTTTCAACATTTGTACACTAAGCCTCCATTTTATAATTGAAAACATATGAACTTTGAGTTGCCCAGAATTATTTGGATTTAGTATATTGATTCTTATCTCTTAAAATGAATAAATTATAATGAAACCCACAACCTTCCTCTAGTTCTTAAATGCTTCCTCCCCCCAACTACCAGGACCCCAATTCTGCCTTGCAGACCTGGTTAGACCAGATGATGCACAGCGGTACAGATGGGAATTGGAAACGCAGGGAATCTAGGACAGATGAACCCCTCAGGACCAGGGGTGACAGTGGCGATACCAGGAGGGAAAGGGGGTATAGAAAAGGGGAATTGATCACAGGGATCTACATATAACCTCCTCTCTGGGGGACGGGCAGCAGAGGGGTAGGTGAAGGGAGACGCCGGGCAGTGTAATATAAGATATAATAATAATTTATAAATTATCAAGGGTACATGGAGGAAGGGGGAGGAGGAAGGGAGGGGGAGGGGAAAAAAGGAAAATTAAAAAAAAATTTTTTAATTTTTTAAAATCGGAGTCTACTTGAAAAAAAAAGAATAAATTATATTGATTTTCACATCCTTCTAGTTATATGATTTTAGTTGCTGACCAGTCGGTTCTGACCCATAGCGACTCTGTGGCCAACAGAACAAAGCACTGCCCGGTCCTGCACGACCCTCACACTTGTTCTTATGTCCGAGCCTATTGTTGCAGCCGCTGAGTCGTCTTCCACTTGTTTGCTTCCTCTCTACCCACCTTACCAAGCATGATGTCCTTTTCCAGGCATTGGCCTCTCCCGATAACATGTGCAAAGCACAGGAGGCAATGTCTCAACACATTTGCTTCAAAGGAGTTTCTGGCTGTACTTCTTCCAAGACGGATTTGTTTGTTCTTTGGTGGTCTGTGATCTTTTCAATATCCTTCGCAAGCACTATAATTTAAATACACTGGTTCTTCATCAGTCTTCCTTATTCGATGCGCAACTTTCAAATGCTTATGAGGCAATTGTAAATATGATGTGGGTCAGGCACACCTTAGTCCTCAAAGTCCTTGTTTTCAGCACTTTAAAGATGTCTGAGGCAAGACATTTTCTTAATGCAACATGTAGTTTGATCTCCTCATTGATGCTTAAGTTAGCATTGATTGTGGATCCAAGCAATATAAAATCCTTAGTAAGTTCAATCTTCTCTCTGTCACGATTGTCCAGTTGTGAGGATGTTGGTTTTCTTTATATTGATTTAGTTATGATAGCATCTGGTTTGGTAAGGTTCTGGAATCAAGGTGCAAGATGAATATAGCACTTTTGGGGAGGATGCACATCCATCCATGAATGCGTTAGAAATACCTTAATTCCCAAAATGACTGGATTAAATGAAAAGAAATAAAAGATAGAGCTTTTGTTAAATAAAAACTCCTGTATAGGGATAGTTATGTTGTTTTGGGGTATTACATGTCCAAGGGACATGCTCTGGGTAGGATAGGGATGAATTATCACATTCACCCTGCATGTCAAGCCTAAAATTTCACTTTCCTTAACTTTGGAAAAAATTTCATTCATAGTGTAATAAATTAAAGACCACTAGCTAGCAGTGAAAAGCCATCCTGTATAGGATCACTTCTAGAAGTTATTGACTGAATAGCAGGGGGCTGGGGTAGTGTTTGCTAGCAGTATTTCTACGTTTTTTTTATGTCTCCTATATCATAATTTTCCAGACTTAAATGAGTCTATTGATAACTATTTGGACAATAATCTTAAATTAAAACAAATCTATTAACCCAGGTACAGTCATTAATTGCTAATGGTAATGATGTTAATAGATACTATTGAATTAATAACAACCTTATAACAATAAAATGAAATGTTCCTCAGTTCTTCATAGTCGTAAAAGATTACTGGCATGTTCAATCCATTGCTGTGGGTATTCGGTCAAGCCTTCACACTTGCTTTACTCTATTTCATTAGAAGTGATGTTCCCCTCTTCCTATTGATTCTTCCTGAAGACTTGTCTAACGTAAAGGAGTCAGATCGATTCATTATAATAAAAAATATACATGTCCATACAATGATATTTTCCATATAGGGAAAAATTATTACTTAATAATTCAGTAAACTATAGAGTGTCCACTACATGACAAGCACTGTTTAGGGAAGCTGAAATACTGCAGGTGAAAACTTGACCAAGAAACACTCCCCACTTATTATATATTTGAGTTAGAACATTATTGGCAACTTAAAATATGAGGACAAGTAAAAGTTACTGTCATATTATAGAAATAGTTTTTAATCAAAATATCAAAATGTGAGGCTTTTATTACTCACCATACCCCCTCATATAAGTCTATCCATTTCTGAAGGCAGCATTGCCATCTATAAAACCCTTTATGAAAGAATCCTACATTCTTTAATTTATATCAAATCAAAAAGAAGTTTTGATTTGGGATTCAAATAATATTAATTTTAAATATTCTGTGAGTTTTGAAAACAATGAAATTGGAAGGAGCAATATCGAGGCTGTAAGGTGGATAGGGTACAATATCCTAACAAAACTCTCCGAGGACAGCCACTGCTACCCTCACACAGTGAGCAGATATATGGTTGAGATGGGGAAAAATTCTTGAAGTAACTCTCCTGGAGTAATCATCAATATAATTTTAAACGCTCTTAAGTCTCCTTCAGAATAAGCCCCTGTGATGATTCTGTGCCTTTTGAGAAAGTTTATCATGATTGCTTCATCCCCTTACTCTTCGGAGTTGACTGTTCTGCATTGAATTTAACTGGCCTAGTACATCTCCTCAGAAGACACGCTATAGATTGGAGTATT